GAGTTGAGATAATTTTTTTTTCAAGAAATTATTTGCAGCTTTTATTAACATTCAATTATTAATATTAATATATATAAGAACCAAACACTGAATGTACGCGTGTAATGAATTTATTTAATCAATACATAGATAAACGTTTCGATCCTATAATGTAGATCCTTCTCAATATCACAAAAAACATAAGAATTAGTATCAATAGTCGTACAAAAGATTTCTACGCGTAATTTACATTATTATATATTTATATCAAAATATTATCAAAATATTTAAGCATTAAAATCAATTTTGATTAAAAATAAGATTTACTTAAGTAATTAGATTTATTTTCATCACTTCAATTTCTTATTGTAACTGTTTAAACAACAAATAATTTATAATAACTTATATATATAAAAAGATTTGATTTAATTTCGAATGTTATCTTCTCATCAAATAAGTACATAAAAACGGGAAAAACATTTTTCATAAAAATTAAAACAAACAAAAAATTAAATAATTTTTAAGTCAATAAAAAATTATACTCAAACTTTACATAGATACTTTATATACTTTGAAATGTAATACGTACATCCTTAATAATATTTAAAGTATCATGTGTTTTTCATTTTTTAAATTTTAATAAAAATAAGGTGTATAAATTTCAAAATATAGAATGTTAATTTTAACATTTTTGCATGTCTTAAAAAGTCTACTATACATTTTTATAATAAATTAAAATTAATATTTTATTTTTACAGTGTAATGTAAACTGTATATATGGTATGTTAAGAACGCGATAGCTTATATTAATGACAGGAAAGTTCTCTGAGCAAAAGCAGAAGATATCTGAAAATACATATTGGTTCGCACGTTAAATCAATAAAATAAAATTTGCTTTCTTTGTCATGCATTAAGTTCTGAAAACTGTTTGTAACACTAGATGTTGCAACTACTTCTCACTTCTGATGAGCTAATTTAATTGCTGTGACTATTATTGTGACTAATACGCGCTCCGCAATGTCAATGCGTCTTGGAAGAATATTTAATGCAACTTTCCTGTATGAGAAGAACGTCCATTAAAGCGTCGTTCCACGAATTCGTGTTGGCAATTATCGCAGTTCCAAAGAAAGAATAAAAGAAATTGTATTCCAAGTCGATTAGGCAAATGCAAAAAAAGTCACCGTACGAATTTTAGCGAAAAGAAAAAGTTCTTAGAAAGGACAAAAGACCACATAGCATAATTTTTTATGAGCATTATGTTGCTTCTATCGGACATGTTCCCGATCCAAAATTATTTATATCGTCCATAAAAACGATGTATTCAAACAGAATTATTCATTCTCCAAATACATGTATCCTAGAGACACTATTTATCAAAGCATACGTTTTATTTCAATCAACGCTTCGGGATTTTGCATCATATTTATTTTTACGAACGTCGCGCGGTATAAAATATAATTTTGAAAATGAACACTACGATCGATCACGCGAATCCTGCTATTTAGTAACGATCACCTTGAGAATATTTTGTCGCAATAAATTAACAAATCGATGAAACACACTAATGTACGAGCAGTTATATTTAAAGGTAATCTTTAAAAAAATACAATATATTCCATCTTATTTTAATAAAATGTGAAATGGTACCTACAAGAACGACTTTGAAAAGGAAATTGAAAAGTATTTGCGTGTGTACTAAATTTAAACATTGTTGTAATATGTATTAAGTATTAATATATGTATATTAAGTTTTCTTCAAGAGTCTTATAATACAGTTTTTCTCACATGCACAATCACTTTTGTTCATTTGCTTACAATAACGCTTATTTAAATGTTTCAGTTACTGATAAACCAAAAAAACATTTATGATAAATATCTTCACGTCAGATTATTTCCTCTGTTTTTTGCGAAAAAGGACTAAGCAAATCGTTTATATTTGCATTCTCCGATCACTATTCTTTATATAGCTCTGATAATAATTATATAGTTCGATTTCCTATTTAATTCAATTATAAGACATTAATTGCACAATCATTCATCTTGCATATTTTTCACGCAGTAAGAATTATTAAGAATACCGTTACTTCTATAAGTCTACTAAAAAGTTACGAGATTTATTTGGCGTACTAACTCGTTTTGTAAAAAAGTACGGAACCTGCAAGCTACTTGTAATTATACATGTGCACAATCATGGAATTGATGCATACCCAATGAATGCAGCTCGATCATTGTATGCGTATATATGCATGTGGTCAGTACTTTCAGCTCGAATGTGTAGTAATGCGGTTACAAGATTGGCTTCCATCTTATGTAAAGTTCATTCGAGATAGGCCGATACCAAGCAGAGTTACTCAACCGAGAATATAACGGGAACTGGAACCTCTTTAGATTATTTGTAACTTGATCGTTGAAGATTGTTTTTTAGAAAAAAAATTAATAAAAATTTATATTTCGCAAGTACGTCTAGAATGAGATAAAATAAATATAAAAGTCAGTAACGTTAAGAAGAATAATATACACAAAAAGAACGGTTTTTCTGAAGTATTTGGCTAGATACAAATCAAAAATTGATTGTAACATCTGCGTTCAACTCGATCGGACGAACTTCTAATGATAGTTCTGTCTCACATACCTTTACAATATACTCGCATTGAGAACAGGAAAATCAATCCAAACTATAATCATTATATCGGCATGTCTATATCGCATCGTCACACATCATAAGAGAATATTATCAATCCAATGACACAAACATCTGTAAGAATCGCTGAAGAAGGATCTGTGAGTTCCGAAACGTATGACACTTTTTGTTAGAGTTTTATATTATAAGATTTAAGAACAATTATTATTATTAAATCTATTTAGTTCGATTTAGACCGTTTACTTATTTAATTTGCATTGCAAAAAAATGAGTGAAATTTACTAACAAATCAAAAAGTAATTTTATCAAAGCTAAACTTAAATAAGAGATAGCCATCTTTAAAATGCAAAAGATATACTTTAATTTTTGGTATCGTTAATAGTGGCATATGAAAAAGACATACCAATATAACACTATTATGGTAACAAAAATTAAAGTATATTTTTGGCATTTTAAAGATGATCATCTTACCCAAGTTTACTCTATTAAAATAATTTATATAAAACGCTCAGGCTGAAAATTGTGTATAACAATGTCAAAACTTTTTGACTATTTTTCTTCCCGCAGAATACATATTAATAATAACGCGCGCGCGTGCATCAAAATATTATAATTTCCCATTCAACAATAAATGTAACAAATGTTCAATAATATATAACACATAACATAACATTATTGAGTAAGAAATTATAACATTGATGTAATATTATTGTTAGTTGTTTGTAAGGTCATTATTAAGGTCATGCTTGAGTTTTCTGTATAACATTTTGATGGCGCAGCAAAATTATTTCCAGATCAATATTTACGTGAATTTTCAGTTACTTCAGCAAAATCGTACTTTTTATATAACATTGATACGTCCATAAGATTTATATTTTAGATTTTAATATCGAAATTTTTAATAAGACGTTAACGGATTTAGATTCATCGCCTTATAAGGTAAGCGTACCAGTTAAAGTTGATAGTATAGTGGACATGACCCAATTATTGGACAAAATAAAACAATTTTTAACTATTCATCTTTTAATGATATGTACTACATTAAACAAATTTGTTCTTTATAAAAATTTAATAAAATGAATTGATTTAGAGCCGCACACATCAGTAAAAAGCTTAATATTCAACATTTTTGTCATTTTATCTATAATAACGGAATCATGTTCACTATAACTACTACATTTTCCTTGTGTGTAACGTATGTAATTTTCTTCTTGATAATAAGAACATTGTGAAAATAACGTGTTTCCTCCTTGGCTAATCTTCTCTAGATCCATCACCGGATATCGACATTCACCGCATTCCCTATCTCCTCGAGAAGAACGGTCAGGCACGATCGCCAGGTGCGTCGCTGATTCGTCGCTCCCACCATCAGCTCGGCTCGGCTCGACTCGGCTCGGCGTTTATCCCTCTCGAAGTAGCCCATTCCTTCCTCTTCTCCTTTTTCATTGCATTTTTCTTTCTCGCGGCCAGAACGCCGTGCGATAACCCGACGTACGGAGGGAAAGTTCTTCATGGTCTCTCTCATTCTCTCTCTCTTTCTCCCGCTCTCTTTCTCTCTCTCTCTCTCTCTCTCTTTTTCTTTCTCTTTAGTGGTGTACCGGTCCAGTTGTGGTCAACAAGTTCTTAAGATTCGGTTGCTCGGGGTGTCGCGCGCAGCAAGGTGAACAAGTCGCAGTATAAAACGTTCCGTTCAGTATGTGATTCTGCTCCAAGAGTATATAACCGTCCCCGACATAATATTGTGAAGTGTTCTCGCGGATTGAGATACCTCTTGTGCGCATCAGTGTCATCCACATCGCGGCCGCTATTGTCATTATTGCAGTTTATGCGAATGTTCAAGGACCAACTGGCACCGGTTGCCGAGAGACGCTCGTATCCCGCGGACGCTATGCATATCTTTGTACGTGCGATCAGAGCAGTTTTGACAGCGGTGGCAAAACCGGCGCTTGTGGTGAACGATTAAATTTGACAAATAGTGATTACGCGCCATTTCAAACAACAAAAAATAGATGTACAATCAGAAGAGATTCAGCGGTGTTCGAGTCATATACGGTTTTCCGCACAGATCGCGTGCAAGCGCGGAAATAGTTATCTTCGCGAGAGACGCCTGAACTTAACGGGAATTCGAGCGGAGGAAGCGCTCCAGTTTCGCGCTGCAGTCTACAACGTGCAGCTTGGAGAAAGGCTCGGTTGACGGTGATTAGACGAAAATTCCAATCGGGTTCATTTGCAACTCTCAGGACCGCGCTCTCTGAATTCCCGAGGTGGTAGAGCCAGTAGTTGGAGTGCGCGGTGGGCAAGGTGGAGTGCCGCGTCCGCGGCACGTCGCGCGTCGGTTGAGGGGAGATTTCAACGCGCGTGTAATACGCGTCCGGATTCGCCGGATATCGATTCGCGCATCTGTAAGTAGAAGTTCATCTATCGTATCTTTTTTTCTCCTAGTAGTGCCAATGTACGAATTTAGCAAGGCATATTATAAAATTTTCGTAATCCGATTGGTTGAAACGAGATATTTCAATTTTATAAGAGATCTACTCTCTTTTACAAGAGATTTGCAGATTATATATGCAGTAAATATTTACACTGAGAAAATATATATAATTTGTAGTCATTTTTTTTCTTACTAACTATATGTATATATATTTTTTTATAGATCTATATATACATTTATTATAATAAATTTATTATTATTCTAGCAGTAATAACTATAATTATGGTAATATGTATAGTTACAAATAGTAAAAATTTTTCTTTCAGCGTATCAAAGAAGGAAAAAAGACAAATCAAATTTTAAAAACATATTTTGATTATTTATATGAAAATTTTTATGTCAATTTTATGTAATATTCTCTTAAATATATGCAAGCTGATTGATAGCGAAACAGCATCGTGTATAGTATATGTATTTTCGCCTTGGAAAAATTATATTGTTTATTTTTAATATATGTATATTGTGATTCGCTATAGCGGTATAATTCGTGTTACTTGTAATTAAACATTTTGTAACATTCTGTTGCATTGTTGGCTTAATTAATGAAGAACGCTTTTCGCATTTGTAGAGAAAGTAATAGTATCGAAATAATAAGACTTAATTGCAATGATATCTTTGTGATAATTAGAATCTTTATCTTTAAGATAATCAAAAGATAACGGAAGATAAACCAGTATACTTTTGAATAACACAATTGCTAAATATAACGTTTTAAGCTATAAATATATAAAATATCTTATTTATTTATTACAATAATATAAGATATTTTATATTATATTGTCATAAATAAATAATATATTATCAATATATTAAATTTAAATTATATAAATAAAAACAAGGTATATATAAACAAGATTACATATATAAACATAAATTACCCTTTTCATACATATGTTTTTAATATGAAATATTCATCATTACATGTTATTGGAAACTTTTTACTAAGAGTTCATTAATTATTTGCATCTAGACAATGATAAATTATTTCTTTTATCGCATAAATTGGCATAAAATATTGATCACGATGTCAAGTTCGACCAGAATTCACTAAGAGATCAAATCAATTAATTTTCTCTATTATGTGGAATATTCCAAAGCAGAGAGCGAATTGAATTAGTACGCGTTGAAAGGTACGAGTTCTCGTATATCGTTTTATGAAAACTCGTGGCAATGCACCGCTAGTGCGCGCTTCGAATCAATGAATACACGCGATACACTTATTTATTTCATGTAATTCAATGCACCACGAACATGCAGTTACAGCATAGTGTTTTCTGAATGTCGTGTTTCCATTTTCTACGATCTCTTGCTAAATTGTATCAGAAGCCCAATTCTTGAAAAATATCGAAATTTAGGAAATAAGGAAAATACTATATTATACGTAACGTATGCTATAATATTTCCAAGTATTTCTCTAGATTTTCATATGCGATATTTTTCAAGACTAGGGCCCCTGAACTGTAATCGTTATTATAGAAATTTCTTCGCAAATATTGTATTTTGAATCGATTTGTAAATATCCTACTCTTTCACAAGTCGAACGATGCGCGATGTAAAATAACTTTTTATCCTTTTCTACGTTATTATTATGCAAGCCTACGGCGAGTTTTGAGGAAGCGTTAATTGCTGCCGGTGCAATTGCCGTTGCGTTTGCGGCCTCTTGTAGATTTGTAATCTTCTAAGAAATCCCTTATTTGTTTTGACCCTATAGAAACAACGCAAAAGGCATTGCAACATATTTCTATGTCTATTTAAACGGTATATTGTATTCGTGTCGAACAGCTGCAACGTGTGGGATTTGACAGCGAGTAACGACTAGTATTTCGACATCAATAAGTAGATAATCTGAGGCCCGAGTCATTATTACCGGCGAAATACTACGATGATAATGTCAATTTTCTCTCCTCCACCTAATATCATAATAACATACTGCATAATAACAATTTCCGCATTCTTATGCTTTTTTAGAAAGAAAGTAGTTAGATAATCTAGTATCTACAACTAATTGACGCATTCAAAAAGTGCACGTGTCATGATGTAATGTATGCTTTTCCGTGATTAAATGCTTCGAAAGTAATTTACGCAATTGTTTAGGGAGCGCTAATTCGCGTGCGAACCTATAATAAAAGCACCGAAAGGAATCGAAAATGCAAGAAGTTAAAAATCATAAACAGTAAAAGAAGTTTTACACGCGATGAATTAAAAAATATATTTGTAAATGAAAATATGTTACGAGAAAATTTTATTATTTTTAGTTTGAGCCTACCTCTTTTTCTTAAAAATAATGGGAAAGAATCACATCTGGGAAATTCATTATTTTCGAGTAAATTAATATAAATTCCACTCGTGATATCGTTGGTGTTTTTATATCATCCAGAAAATTGCAAAGCAGCTAACAATAATAAGATATAGCACGACTGAACGAGATGTATATTCAGTAAATAACGCGTATCACTGTCATTATCACATTCCGATCTGTCCGATCAGTGTCTGCGTCGTTGCTGGTATAATCACGTTGTTAGCGTCTAAATCAACTAAATTACACGTAAAGTAACGAAAATCATAGGCTGACGGTCCATTTAAACACATCGGAAGACTGTGTCAACGGTCTCGGATGTGGGATGGACACAGAGACTTTCTCTCGACGCTTTCTCTTGACGGCGATTTCGTGATCAAGGAGATACCCACGTATACCGTAATCGTCCGAATTCTGGCGATATTTATTATCATAGAAAGCGGCTACATTTTATAATATTACGAAATCCGCGCACGAGAATGACGCTAAGTTGCGTGCTCCGCAAGCCACCGCGAGACTATCGCGAACGTGACGAAGCGATCAATTATAAAGCATGTTTTCAGATACTATCTAAATGGAGACATATACTTCGACTTCCTGAATAAAATATTTATAAATGAGCTTCCACCTTTTACTTTAGCCTCTACCTGATTAAGAAAAAAACGTTCCGAGATATCATAACAGCGCTACAGCAAAGTTTCTTTCTCTAGGGAAATGCCTGCGTTGAAGCTCTTCGGTCGAAAATGGTTGGCCGCAACCGACGATCTCGTATACCCAGGCCTGTTCGAATTATTTATTCGTATTGTATGGTAAGTATCCGTGAAAAGCAGTCGCCGCGACTACCAGTATGTCGAAACAATGCACTATATTAATCGCAAATACAACGTAACATATGAAAATTGTTTTAAAATTATTTTTATACAAAAAATCAAGAATTTTAAGACTTAAATTTTTAACTAAATTCTACGAGATTTTTAAATTTATTAGAAGCATTGAACTTTATAATTTTCATTATTAATTTCTTTCGCAGAAGCGCGTCGCCCGAATTAAAATCGCGCGGATTGTTGCTAGTTTGTTTCTCGTAATCGGCTGTGTGTTTTACAGGTTGATTCTTATAGGGATCGCCTGCGCAAGGTACTACGAGGATACGTGGAATTGTCGGTTGGGAGGTGAATTAGTGCGCGTGTACCTCCTCGGCGAAGCGGTCATGCTTGGTATCGTCACGCTTTTGATACTCATCATTATCAGGCATAGCGCGAGGGGGGCTATCATGGACACGCATGCCCGACGCTACGTCGAACCGCTTCTGCTGGTCAAGTAAGCAACAAAAGTAAACCAGCGTTATGTCTAATCAGTTTTCTAGATCGATAACCTTCGTGAGACACACTTTTTAAAGTTTTCAACTTCTGTGTTTTTAAATAATAATTTGCCTAATATTATTTACAACCAATTCTCAGCAGAGAGGTTCATTCTTTATTATAGACTAGAGACTCGCTTTATCGTAGCTTCTCTTTATCAGAATTTTATATGCAATATAGATTATATATATAGTATGGGGTAGACCGAAAGAAAATTGTTTTAAAAATCAATTAGCAATATCCCCCAAAAGTTAACTATGGACCTCAATATGATCTGAATAAAATTTCACCGAAATCGATTAATATCTTTAGGTTGTCCCTCAATCTTGAAACTAATAAGTTTATACACATTTTTTAGATACATGTGTCAAAATTCGAAAAAGTATTTAAATTTTAATACAATTTGGTACTACTTGTTTTTTTTATCGCTGAACACGAATCCGAAATTAGAAATACATATTTCGAAATGGTGGATCCGCAATATATTCTTATAGAAGGAAAATTTTTTATTATTACGAGAAAAATAGCGTAAACACATTAATATTAAATTTATTGTTTTTTATCAAATCTATTGTTTTTTATCAATTCTATTGTTTTTTTATCAAATCTATTGTTTTTTTATCAACTACGGACTCAAAATAATTCTCATATTTGACAGGCTAGGATTTCACCAGTGTATGTTTATTTTAATATTAATGTGTTTGCGCTATTTATTTCACAATAATAAGAAATTTTCCTTCTATATATAAGAATATATTGCGGAGCCACACCATTTCGAAATGTGTAATTTCTGACCTCAGATTCATGTTCAGCGATAAAAAAAAACAGATAGTACCAAATTATATTAAAATTCAAATATTTTTTGGAATTTTAACATGTATCTAAGAAATACATAAACTTACTAATTTATCGAGATAAGAGGAAGACACTTATTATCAAAATATACAATTTAGATTAACATGTTGAACATTGTAAACATTTATTATAATAAATTAAAAAAAATTGTTTTAATGCTTATTATCCGACTTCTTTTAATTTATATCCTGAAAATAGTTGAATTTTTGAAAACATATTCTAATAAAAAAATGTTTAGTTGATTGAATACGATAAAATGATTAAAAAATAAACTTTTCCATTAAAAATGTGACGGTTTCTTTTATCAGACTCACTATATTACCTCATGTACGGCTTCGTAATTAGAGAAAGGTTGCCGATATTATCATACTCTCTTTGTTTTTAGATCATATTTCTTAATCAAAAGCTAAAAATAAAACTTTAGAAACATGAATGCAAATTAGAAAGTGTTTTCTATCAGATGATAGCTATTTTTATAATTAGCTGTTTACAGTTTTGCAGTAATTAACTTTTTCATAAGATGAGGAAAAATAAGTATCTGATAAGATGGGACCTAAAACTGACACAGTTGCAGTACTTATACACATTTCTATTCTTTTCCTTTCACAGGAATCATCTATACAAAATATCTATAAGTGAATGTATATGAGAATTTCTAGAATCCTTTCACTTTGAAGTAAAACTTGTTTTGTTAATTTATATGCATATTTATTGCTATTACGCAAAATGCAAACATTATAACGCAATACTTTTTTGGAAGATTTCTTCATGAATACAAGAATGCCTTCAGCGTTAGATTATTTGATACAATAACGCAACATTATAAAGTACTAGGTTAAAGTTTAAAATCTGTCCTTATACAGACAGCTATCCAAACAGCAATTCGACGTTCTTGGGCATCCGAAATATGTTTAGGAAAATCCAGTTTATGTCACTTTGTACGTTGAATGTCTATAAAATACATTCTGAGGACATTATTTGGATGTTATTTACATAGACATTTACGGATGTCCAAAGTACGTCGTCAATATGTTCAATTTTCAAGCATCATCATTAGAAGAAAACAAAAAAAAAATAAATTGAATCACTCGTGTTTAAAAAACCACACATCAAATAGAACAAAAAGTGCATTAGCATGGTGAGATTTTTTAATATAAAATGTTTACTTTTTTTTGATAGATTTATGATGAGATGATGCCTTTAGAGGTGAGTCCTCATAATTGAGCCCCAAGATAAAAATTAATAAAATTTTATGATAGTTCGGACTTGCTGACGACCGATGTTCTTTTCTTTTTCTTTTCTTTTTTAAATATAAAGAATTTATTACTTTAATTTACACATTGGTAATTAAACTGTAATATAACACATATTTGTTATATTGTTGATCCAGTGAGAAATGACAACTAATATGTACTAACATAGTACGTTATATGCAATTTGGTGTTTGCTGGATTGGTACATTTTTCCAGAATACTTATAGTACCTGTACCTAGATAATGAAAATGAAGTACCTTGCACAACATTGTACATTATTGTCGTACTTTACTATATCATAACAATAATTTTTTAGCTTAGGAACTGATGATCAATTAAATTAATGATAAGTCTAGAGATCTTTTTTCAACTTATTCAGGATATTGATGCTACTGCCAGAGATCGGATGGAACATTCTGGGTACTCTATGGATTTTCGGACAGAGTGTGGAGTGCAGGCATGAATCATACTCTATTACGGTCGTGGAGGCCTTGGTGTTCTTCGATTGGATCTTGATCGGTCTCAGCATCTTCGGCCTCGCCCTAGTATTCGACCCAATTGGCTCTCTGGAGAAAAAACAGCTAGAGAACTCCGTGGAGCACGGCAAGGTCTCGCGTATTTGGCTGAGGAGATTCAAGTTCCTGTGGTGGATGCGTAAGGACGAGAGTGCGAACGAGGCCTTTCAACAAGTCGCTGGTGAGACATAGGTACGGCTGACCTACGAAGAGGTCTTGCCGCATTCAGAAGTCAGAACTGGAATCGCGTGGGCGTTGCTTCCGATCGGAAACCGAACGCGAACGGTCATCGAAAGAGCCGATGATAAATCAAATAACTGATCTCTGATTTTGGTGACGGTGGGATTTTCTTCGCGATGAGTTCATCGATCTCTCGTCGCTCGCGACATGCACAATCATCGCGATACGGAAGTAGGAATGAATTTTAATTCGCGGTGAGATTATTAGCATCATTAATATTAAACAATAAAAATTATAATAACTTTATTCGACAAATTCAGCTAATAATTTATACGCATAGTTTGCACAATTTTTTAATGATTTATATCATTACATGTATTATTATATTATTATTATAATTATTATATGTAGTATATATATTATCGAATGCAGTTTTATGTAAAGAGAAAAAGAAACAGAAAGAGAGCAAGCAACTTACATTTATATATTTTTACTCTTTAGTAATATAATTCATCACACGATAAACGCACACTGATACAAATACCTTCGTAGGTCTTTTAACTGCTTTATTCCGAGGCACGGATTTGGTTCCTTCGGATGTGATGGCAGGATGTATTTTACTGAGAGTCCGGCAGAAGCGAGAAACTCATGAATTGCGAAAATTAAATCTAATTGCGCGTCCAAAATACTCTTCAGGTACGTTATTTATAAATTGCAAAAAATGCAAAAATTTACTTATGCAATGTTTACCATTTATAAAATATTTGCTGATTACTTTTTTTAGACAGTAGCGGGATTTTTTCGAGCGCACCTAACTGGATGTCCTTGGAAGCCGCCCATCACTTTCTGCAACTATCGATCGCTTCCTACGGCTGGCTTTTCGTAGTATATCAGCACGCATGTACCGGATGTTTTCGTTTAATAAGCGGCATGAGATGCTGTGCTTGTTTCCGGTAAAAGACATAACATAAAACTCAATATTACCCTTTATTTATATACCATTTTTTTTCTTAGAATAATTATACAATATATATATTTTTTAATTATTTTTATCGATTTATTATTTTATTGTCTTTTTTTTAGACGAAAGCGTAACATTATTTTAGACGATAACTGTTGTCTCTGTTATCTTTCTGGAGTAAAATACCTGTCAAAGATATCTGAAGATGATATTCTATTCGCTTCCTTCAAGAATCATTTATGCGAAGTTTGTATATTGTATCCAAATTATGCTCTTTCCATCTCGTTCAGCATAAAATTACTCTTTAAAATTTTACAGATACCATTCTGTGTAATGGTTGATCACAAGACTGCCAGTATTGTTGTGGTTATACGAGGATCATTATCGTTGCGGGATATAATTACTGATTTTGCAGCCTCGTCTGATTCATTTGAATGTCCTGGTATTCCACCAGGAAGCACAGTACGTTTAATTCCCTTTTTGATTATAAGATATATAAATAAATTGATTTAATTGTATATATAAACCTACGTAAAATTTGTAGGCCCACAAAGGCATGATAATAGGAGTAAAAATAATCTTAAAACAATTGGAGAATTATAAAGTCCTGGAAAGAGCATTCGCCACGTATCCCAATTATCATCTGACACTTACTGGTAAGAACTCCATACTAACTGCCGTTGACTGTATAACTGTGTGTACATATTCTATAATGAGATAACGTGTGTGCTTAGGTCATAGTTTAGGAGCCGGTTTAGCCATTTTGCTGGGTTTACTGATACGTCCTCGTTATCCAGAGTTGAGAGTCTACGCGTTTGCTACACCTGGTAATTGCTTGTACACATGGCTTTGTTCTTGCAAATATCATAGTTTAATTAGCTAGAAAAATTGACAGATGTACTATCTCCAATTATTAATTTTTTGCGTACATATAATAGACTGATTAATTTTAATTTCTAATATATTTGTTTAAAAAGCTGGATTGCTCAGCAGAGAAGCTGCTAGGGTCACGGAGGAATTTGTATTGACTATAGGACTTGGCGATGATCTCGTAATGAGACTGAGTGTGGATAGTACAGAGAATTTAAGGACGTCATTACTGACAACTCTTCATGCTTGTCGATTACCTAAGGTATTTATAAGCATTTGAGACACTCAAATTATTAAATTGAATTGTGTTTTGATAAATATTTTCGTATTTTTAGTACAGAGTAGTCCTAAACGGATTTGGATACGCTTTGTTTGGAGTTCCCGACAGAGATCTGACTAAAACATGGGCCAATCATAACATAATTAACACAATCCCGGGTCAATCGCCTTTGCTGACCAAACACAACGATGTGGTAAGAAAAAATACTGCATTTACAAAATTTGTAAAAAGTATTAAACATACAAACATTTACAATATTGATTTTATGTAATATTGAATTTGCTGACTAAACTAAAACTTTGTTGTTAGTAATTTTTTTTGTCAACAGGATAAAATAATAGAGCGCGATATAACAAAAAGAAGATATTCAAAAATGAAACTGTTTAATGCTGGTCGTATACTTCATATAGTGAGATGCAAACTTGAAAAAACGGAAGGAAAGAGGTACATAGCTCTTACAAAATTTCTTATTAAAAGTATTAATTTTTATGGTTCTTTATAAATTAAATCCTTCAAAATACTGAAAAAATATATTAAAAGCGTCATAGAATTATAAGATATATTAGTTAATAATGACGTTTAATTTTTACATTAGCAAGAAACAACTCGCAAAGGAGAGAAAATACGAGATGCGATGGGCACAAGCGGAAGAATTTACGAAATTATCAGTAATGCCACGCATGCTTTTGGATCACTTACCAGAAAATATAGAGCGGGCTTTAGCCACATTAATGGAGCAACAAAACGATGTACCATATTATTTCGATCCTTAGTGTAACCCAAAGAAGTGATTTTATATTATAGCTTTAATAAAAAGAACTTTTCACAAAATCACATCCTATAATATATCCTAAAATTATTTATCGATAATTAATTTTTTATTCAACATATAACATAGAAATTTGTTAATAAAATAAAATAGTAAAATGAAAAATGGCGTAATCCCTTAATAAGATAAATAGATATATTGATTTGAAAAATCTGAAGTAATTATGATTAATTTAATCAATGATTAATTGGAAAAAATAAAAGTTATACTTAAAAGTGTAAAGACGAAACGCGAAGTTAAAAATTTGATATACAAAAAATTCTATATTTTAAAAATATATAGAGTTTAAAAAATTCTATATTCAATTAACTTTGAATTGCATTCGTATTTTGCGTATTGTATTCTTTAAAAATTCTTTAAAGTAAAAATTTTATTCAAAACAAGTAAAAGTTTTCCAATCAATAATGAAAATCTTATCAATTAGAATGGTAACTCTAATCGCGTACAGTATCCCCATAAAAAAGCTTTTCGTATATTATTTTCACAGAGCAGCTCTGGGAAGTCGGAACCCCAAAATGCGAATTTTGATAAAATTATTATTGCATTCGTTTGTCCACTGTTTGTCCACGTTTGTCCACCCATTATTTTCGTTTGTCCACCTACTTTTATTATATTTTTCATAATAATGAAAAATAATCACTTGGGGGTACTACAATTTTTTTTTGTGTATAACTTTTTTTTGGAGGTTGGATAGATGAAAATAAAGGGTGGACAAACGTGGACAAACAGTGGACAAACGAATGCAACAATGATTTTATCAAAATTCACATTTAGGGGTGCCAACTTCACAGAGCAGCTCCGGGAAGTCGGAACCCCTAAATGCGAATTTTGATAAAATTATTATTGCATTCGTTTGTCCACGTTTTCCATCCATTATTTTCGTTTGTCCACCCTGTTTTTATTATATTTTTAATAATAATGGAAAATAATCACTTGGGGGTACTATAACTTCGTTTTGTGTATAACTTTTTTTTGGAGGTTGGTTAAATGAAAATAACGGGTGGACAAACGTGTACAAACAGTGGACAAACGAATGCAATAATGATTTTATCAAAATTCACATTTAGGGGTGCCAACTTCACAGAGCAGCTCTGGGAAGTCGGAACCCCTAAATGCGAATTTAGATAAAATTATTATTGCATTCGTTTGTCCACTGTTTGTCCACGTTTGTGCACCCATTATTTTCATTTGTTCACCCTATTTTTATTATATTTTTCATAATAATAAAAAATAATCACTTGGGGGTACTACAATTTTTTTTTGTGTATAACTTTTTTTTGGAGGTTGGATAGATGAAAATAAAGGGTGGACAAACGTGTACAAACAGTGGACAAACGAATGCAATAATGATTTTATCATAATTCACATTTAGGAGTGCCAACTTCACAGTGCAGCTCTGGGAAGTCGGAACCCCAAAATGCAAATTTTGATAAAATTATTATTGCATTTCGTTTGTCCACTGTTCGGCCACGTTTGTCCACCCATTATATTTTCGTTTGTCCACTCTATGTTAATTATATTTTTCGTAATAGTCTAAAATAACCACTTGAGGGTGTTACAACTTTTTTTGTATAACTGTTTTTTGGAGGGTGGACAAACGGGATTATTTTGGTCTCAAAATGTTTCTAGAATTATGTGCTCTAAAAATATCCAGAATCAGCTATTTTGCTCATCGTTTACGTCGATAAATTCGATCCACAGTTTGGCTATGCTGACTCGCGTACAAGAGTATAAAGTACATTAAAGCAATCAATTGCCGGGATCATATATACATATGTATATATAACTTATTTAAAATATAAACACGCGCGATATATTTTAACACATTTGTAAAAAAAAATGGGTGTAATATACAACTTTAATGTTAATACTTTTAAACTTAATAATGAACATCACGCGCATGTAAGTAAACATACATATAATTGCAGAGAAGAATATTTATTCTGATCCACATTTTATGTAGCGCGAATACGATTATACGAACCGCGAATATCTACTTACCATCAGTCTTGAAAAGTAGATGTGTTATCCTCAGAATAGTGGATCTTGAATGTAGTTCACATTCACTTCTTCAGAGGGCAGTAGTGCGCATTTGCGGTTACAGGTTTTTAGTCGTCATGTCCTCTCTCAGGTTTCTCTCTGATAACGTATAAACCATATACATAATGAATTTGATTGGTTCATTGACTCATGCATAAGAAAATGGACCAATGAAATTTCTTATGCACATGCTTTATGCGTTATGCAAAAGTCTGTGCTCCCCGCTTTATTGTTTACCAAATGTTAAACAAGGATGACATGACACCCAGGGAGCACTCGGGTGGGAATCTGAACACGCCGCTTAGTCCAGTCATTATGTATATTTAAAAAAGAAAAAATTGGAAGCAGTAATTTTATTTTTGGAGGGTCTCAGGGATGTCAAGAAAAGCTTAACTTGAAGTTTTCGACCTCTGTTTCTCGGTTGTCTTTTTTGCTACAGTTAAAAACACCAAAAAAATGGTTTTTTCGCAATAACTCGGGTTCTAATCAACTTAAAAGGTCGTTATTAGGCCCATTTTAAAGGTTTTTTTATGCTCTTCAATTTTTGTCATATAATATTTTGTCGTGCGACCGATATTTTTCGAGATATCGAATGATTTATCGCGATTTTTGTACTGAAAATAAGTTTTTTTTTGTTTTTTGCTTTTTACTCGGTATTTTTAACGGAAAATGTAAAAGTGACTTGAGAAGAAGTTGTAGAGAATTAAAAAACGAACAATTCCTTTTTTTTTATTTTTTTTTAAATTTTTTTTTATTTTTCCTTTTTTCGAAAAATATCGGTCGCACGACAAAATATTATATGACAAAAATTGGAGAGCATGAAAAAACCTTTAAAATGGGCCTAATAACGACCTTTTAAGTTGATTAGAACCCGAGTTATTGCGAAAAAACCATTTTTTTTGGTGTTTTTAACTGCAAAAAAGACAACCGGGAAACAGAGGTCGAAAACTTCAAGTTAAGCTTTTCTTGACATCCCTGAGACCCCCCAAGAATAAAATTTCTGCTTCCAATTTTTTCTTTTTTAACCCATTTTTATGTACATAATGACTGGACTAGCTATGCGTTCGAAAAGTCGTGCTACTCTGTTGAGTTTTACGTTTACCCATACCCAACCTTACTCTACCCGACGAGTAGATTTTCGAACGCACCCACGTATGGTGAAGAATTTGTCAGCACGTGGGATGTGGTAGGATTTGATATAAGACTCATCCAAACATACACGTGTACAGCTGCGGAAAGAGTTCACTTCACCTTAGGCGAAGGAAAAATTATACTCGCCGAAGTAAGTAGCGCTCGTTCTAATTTATTTTATAACGTGCATTTATCTTAACCTTGTTCCTCCTGCCGCTCCACGCCTGCTATTTCGCGATTACATATTGTGATGTTTTACTTTATGTCAATGAAAGCTCCTTAATTACGAGTTGAATTCAGAACAACGATTTACGAGATAGATCTGTCATTAATCAAACTCTAATAGAGTCCTTAAAGTTCCAATGATTCGTCTGTTTAATAGATGTCTGTGGTATCCTCAAGAACTGTCAGCAGTGTGTCATCTATGCTGAAAGACAGTGGAGTTAGAGCGCAGTTTATTAAACAACCTGACAAAATATACAAACCTCCAAAAGATATTAAAGATATATTACATAATTATAAGGGTATTAGAAAAAAAGAATATGATAAGTTGATACATTCGCTTAAAAATTGTGTTGTAAAGGTAATGATAAAAAACAAAAAAAAATTTTACTCTTTTATATTGCTTGAGATATATGTATATATATATGTATATATATGTATATATATGTATATA